GCTTCTTGATTAAGGGTTAAGAATTGCATAATCATCAACATTCAACAAACAGGCAGCATCATATGCTTTTGGATAAAACATGGTAATCTTCCTCGCCAAACTTTAACATACACGATAAGTACACCTTATTATTCTGTCCTTAAAAAAAGTTATATCTAAGGCGGTGTTTGTTGCCAGCAGATCATCCAATCCAGGTAAAAGATGCTGAAAAACGACTGTTTCCCTATTTGATTGCCCCTAGATTCTTTCAAAGTGCACTTGGTTTGAAGTAAATACAAAAGTGGGATGATATTTTTAAGGATCAAATTATAACAATGAGAAATAATGTCATTTGATTTACTACAAAGTTCATCCATTTCATTTTTATATTTTTCTTACACCAATCATACCTTAGCGTATTTAATCGACTAAAAGAAGTTTAGGTTGAGTTTATAATCTTTATAATGGTTTTTTATAATAAAAAAATTTTTGGTATACCTTTAAATTTACTAATTCAATTATTAAAATCTATAATTAAAATTTTTTCTTTAAGTTCAAATTTAAAAATAATAATTTTTTAATAAGTATGTTGAAGTGTAGGGTATATCAATTATTGATTTTTTTACAATAGTTTTTTAAAATTTAAAATTTAAGGACTGAAATTTTTATCAGAGCTGCTACCAGAACCTTTTGCTGGTCTCTACAGGTCTGGCTATTGATGGTAATTGTGTTTTTTGTCATGCATGTGTAGAAGATATTGAGCATCTCTGTACTTTGATTTATTGCCCCTTTTGTAAGCATGTGTAGAGAGCACTTTTGGGCAGGATAGGGTACGCATAATTCATGAACCAGATGCTTGGTCGAGAGAATGTTTGTGGATACAGCGAATTTTCAAAGACCGTTGCAAGAAAGCAAATTAAGTTGCTGAAAGTTATGGCTACGGCGCCAACCATCAATTGGTTGTGAAGAGCGAAATACTGGGAATTTTGCCAAGCCTGTCACTAGTGAGATGGGCAAATTTATGAGTTTGTAAAGCAAAGAACTGAATTGTAAGTAGCTTGGGTATGCCCAGAGGATTTTGTAACCCTTTTGGGTGTGTTTTGAGCTATGAATGTTTTACTTGCCCAATTGCCCTTGCAGAAAAAAAAAAAAAGTTTATTGGACCCACACTTTTCTTGATGAGTCCGAACTAAGTTCTCCTTCTCTTTTTAGCATACCTATATGCATTATTAAAAATGTTAAAGTTGTATAATTCAATTGATTTCAATCTATGGTTTGTATATTAATTGTAGTAATTATTTAATGTAAGCAGGTAGTGTAAACAAAAACAACCACATTCTTAACACAATATAACAAATTTTAAGGAGACACATTCGACCAAACCCTTAGTTCCATCTATGTCTTAGTGGACCAAACCCTTTATTTTTCCATAGCAAAAAAAAAAAAAAAAAAAAGCCCCGTATTTTTCCATGCGAAAACCCCAAAAGATAAACTTCACATTCGAAGATTTAGTTGACTTATCCCCCAACATCAAAAATTCAAAATCTATGGTCAATGGGTAGCAACTGATCAGCACCAACAATCTCGGCATCCTTTCGGGAAGGGCAGGTTAACCAAACACACCCTAATGGTTTTTGCTATCATGTACTTGGGGAACAAAGTTAAGGGATACCAAATGTAGTGCCTCAACTCCCATATTAATGAGTTAGTTTGAATGAATTTGATATATAAATATAGAAATCAACCATTATAACAATTTGAGCTTGAGTTTTTAATATACCATAAATTTTAATTCAAAGAATTATTAAATTAATTTGTGAGTTTCAACATAGATCATTTTAACAAATGTTTTGTTTTTGTAATTCAATGTCAAGTACCATAATTCATATGTGATAATGAGGCGAAACGAAGTAAAATTCATTACTATCCTAACAAATAACAACTCTCCAAATTAAAATTTACAAATCTTCAAAAGTTTAAATTTAAATTTATTGGGTTATTTAAATTATTAATAAATTATTAATAATAATTAATCTTCACATTTATATATCAATTATAATGGTAACTTTCTTTGAAGATAAAATTTTACATCAATTGTACTCTTCTCCCTGTGGTGTGGAATTGGGGCGCTACATGGAATTTCATACAATACTTTAAACATTTTATTTGATAATCATGAACATATGTTCCCTGCAGGCTCACACGTCCTAATTAACCAAAAGTTAAATAAGAAAATACAAATCTTACTCGGCGAAAGATTAATTATGATGATATGTACATTAGCAGAGATCATACAAATCTAGCTGTATATTAATGAACATATATCACGCGGCCTCCAGCATTCAGATTTTAGAAGCAAGGTGCGACCATATATTTAATTATTTTGTAATTGACTCTTGACCAAATATGTAGGGCAGAATAACCAAGCTGCACATTGTTTGCCAAAACGCAGTTTGGAGTTTGTGGGTAGGGTGATTGCACCATTGTTTCTTGATGATATTTTTGCTCTTGACCCAAAAAAAAAAAAAAAAAAAATTTTCATTTTACAGAAAAGAAAAGATATCGAGATGAATATTACCTAAATGCAATTACTGTACTACCATTTACTCTCTTTATTTTAAAATAATTGTTGTTATTTAGTATTGATTTTATTCTAAATTAATTGTTATCTTTTATTTTTAAGATAAATAAATATTATTTTATTTTAACCTATTATTATTTATTTATTTTGATTAATTATCTTATCATAAAAAATTTTACTTTATTTTTTAGTTTTTTTTAGGTATAATATAAATAAATATATGAAATGCCTCTAAATTATTAATTTAATAAATTTTTAAAAAATAATAATTATTTTAAAATAGATGAGTACGAAGTAACTTTAGATCTCATGATTCAATGAAATTCAATAAATAACAAAATTAAGTTTTTGTAATTGAATTGAATAGTATGAGTAATTCATATTGAGTCTAACTTGGTGCAGGTGTTGCGTAAGAAGTAAGAATGAAACTAACTTCTTCGGTTGTCGTTTTGAAGGTGCCTATTAGATTGCCATTAATCCTTTTCTTAAGTAAAAAGAAAATGATTAATATATCTTTTAATTTAATATAAT